TTCCTGGTCTTATCCCTATTTTATTTCCTTGCCCACTGGTTTTCCAAATTTTGGGGGGTGGATGGGTGGTGTATGAGTACAGCTTGAGCCATACCTCCAACTCTTTCTGCTTTGAGTATTTTGGATATAGGGTCAGTTTTTTGCCTGGGCTGATTTGCACCGCATTCCTCTTACTTTAAGTTTCCCACGGTTGCTGGGATGATAGACTCAAACTTTGGATTTTTAGAATATGTTACAGCAATTTTTATCATATGCATTTTCAGTTTATAAAATTTATTAACTAAGTTTATAAAATTTTTATTTCATAAGATAGTGTCAATAGGTTAATATTTCAAACTAGTTTGCATTTTAATCTTACTTCCTGGTTTCTTCCTTTCACGGTCAGTGTTGAACTAAGATTTCCACTTTTCTTCATCTAAGCTTTTCACGCAAGCAAATTCCTTAGCCAGTCCAGAAACAGATAATACTTCTAGTGCTTTTACAAAGATGCACTGTTCTGGTTCTGCTGAGTTGTTAATGTAACTCATTTAATTAGACGGTGAACTTTGGCTCCAGACTACTTGCTTAGAATTCTATCTCTGTTGCTTGCCAACATTTTGATCTTGGGAAAGTTATTTCATTTCCTGTGCCTCAGTGTCTTCATTTGTGAAATGAAAAAGAAAATAATGATTCCTCTTAACCCATAGAAGAGTGAAAATTCAATCATCTATTTTAAATGCTTAGCATAGTTTTATCACATTGTAATAGTGAGCAAATGGTAGTTATTATTGATACTCCAATACATGGTTAGGGTAGCTGGATTAGGGTAAGGGGAGAGGAACAGATCGATGAAGAAGAGGGGAAAGATAGTGTAATGTGGTATTGCCCACTTTGCTTCTTTTTCAAAAGAATTTCTGCAAAAACTGAATTCCATAGAATTTCTGCAAAAACTGAAAACTCATATAGGATATACTATGGCCATCATAGTAAGTGTATTTAGTCATTTTATGTAGAATATATTAAAGCTCCCTTATGTACCAGGCAATGGGAATTCAGAGAATGCCCATTTCCAGTGGGGAAGGTTTACACATTCAGTCACATATATCTCTAAAGTTCATTAAAGCCATGTATTTTCATGGCTTGTCTTAGCTGAAATGACTTAATCACTAGTTCTTTCTCTTACATATCCATGATAGGCACATAGGTATGTATTCTGAGACTGCATCCATGGGAAGTATTCAGAAGAAAAAAGAAAGAAAGTAGAGAAATAGAGGAAGGAGGGCTGCCCATAATTTTGATAAACAATTGAGGCAGTAACATCCAATAAAATTTCCAAAATGATGCTGATCCACCCTACTCAACATGTTAGGGTTTAAACATGGTTCAACAAAACTGTCTATGACCAACTGCCATCCTAAACGGCCTCAGAGCGAAAACAGGGGAAGGCAAATCATTCTTGGGGTTTACCTCCACTCATTTTCTTCCACACAAGGTTGGGGCCTTGAGCAGAGAAAGAATTCTTTTTAAAAGAAGCACCTAGAGGAGGCCATAGCTGTACAACTATCCTTTGCTTTGCTGATATTAAAAGCTTATGGACTAGTCATATAGTAAAAGTATTTTCCGTTGGGTGTTGCGGTTCATGCCTATAATGCCAGCACTCAGGAGGCTGAGGCAGGAGGATCACAAGTTTGAGGCCAGGCTATTCAAACCCTTTCTGAAAAAAGAACAACAAGGTTTTCTTGATAAGCAAAACCTTTCTTCCACACCCCAAATTTCGCTGGTTTTGCCCATCTGTACCAGAAGGTAGATCAAGCACCTCTAGTGCATAGACTAGAAACTTGAGTAATTGTTTCCTTTTTTCTCTGTCCAACATTTAAAGTAAATCTACCTTGCACTTTCCCAAGGAAGCCATGTTGGAGGGATGTAAAAGAAAGAGGCATCACCCCCCCTCCCCCGGCTTTATGGAGCTCAGAAGTGATTGCATAGCACTTCTGGCCTCCTTCACCATAGTTTTCTACTGGCTAAAGAAATTATTTTTGAATCTCCAGGAGAAGGCATTGTGAACACAAGGGTTAAGAGCAAGTTGTGACACCAGATAACTCAGGTTGTCAGCTTGTGGCCTTGCATAAAATCTTTCATTGTCTTGTCTTCACCTGTATTTACTTTCTCAATTGTATTTGTATCTTAGGGCTGCAGTAAAAGTAAATGAGAGAATAAAACAAAGCACCTAGCTAGTACCTGGTACAAAGTAAGTCTTTATTATCTTCAGGGAGCAAGGGCTGGGATCATAGTACTTCATGTGTCCCAAGATCATTCTGAACCTGGTCTGTAGTTTGAGAAAGACACCTGGGCCAGAGGTAGAAATTTGGGAATCATTGATACATTAGCCACATGGCTGATAATCTATGCCACATGGTCATAGAAGAGATGAAATTATTGGCAGCATATTTGTACATTATCTCTGGGAGAAAGAATCCTTAACTTTCACTACCAGAAAACTCTCAGATATGAGACCCAAAACATCTTAAGAGTCACCATGTTACAGGAAATATGCTAATACCCGCTCTGTCCCACATGGATCTTCTTGGCGGTACTGGGGTTAACTCTGCCTCACACTTGCTAGGCAGACACTTTACCATTTGAGGCACACTTCCAGCCCCATGGGGATATTCTTAAAACATAAATAATTAAAATGCCGGGGAAAGTATTTTATGAGTACAACATTCACTAGAGAATAGTGTTTTTATGTTTAGCACCCATTTTGTAAGAGTTTTATTCTATAAACTTTAAAACTTCATAATACCTTAGTAATGGGTATGATTTCTTATACTGTCAGTTAAAACACACACATTAGTTTTCAAAGTAATTTTTCTGCAACATTATGTGCATTTCAGCAATTGTTAGGTATATTAATTTTTAAATACACTGTATTATTTTTACAATTATTGTTCCTAATGGCTTCTTACAACAAGTTGCATTTTTTTCTGATTGTTTCCTGTACTGGCTTCTACAATCATGTTTTTATTGTTGCAATTATTACTTCTAATAATTATTTTAACATCATATATCCACATTCCTTATAACCTCTTCATTATTTAAAACCAGGCTCTTCAGTGGTATTACAGAAATTTTATTCTTCAAGACCAAAATATAGGTAGTTGTTATTTCGTTTCTTAGTTTTAATCTATCACACCGATTCCTTATTATATGAAACAGAAATGAGGAATCTCGGTATCTTAATCTCAGAACATGTATTTTTCTTATAGATGATTTTTAAATTTTTGCAAATCTTGTTTTAAACATTCTTTGTATTTAAGGTAGGATATCAATTTTGACTTGCTGTATATTTTTAAATACATTTTCTAATTTCAGCTCCACTCTTGATGTTCTCCTGACCAATGACAAACCTGTAAATCAATGAGTTTGTTTACACACATGACCTTTATCTATAAATCGATCCTTTGTCTTGCATAATTGATTCTGTTTGCTAAAATAATAGGGTTGGTTGATCAAAATGATTTAATCCTCCCTTAAAACTGCCAATCCAGATAGAATTATACTCTTTATTTTTTATTTCATTAACCTGATGTAAAAGCAAAAGATGTACTCTTCAATTATGATCTGTGTTACTAATTATTAGGAAATAAGATTCCCAGGGAAATACTACCCTTTCTGAACTGTGAACTCCAGAAATTTTAATGTCATTTTGTTTATGTCCAAATCATCAAATGGGTCATTATGGAGCTCTACTACATTACATAATATTTAGACAGAATTAAGAAATTACATTGCATAATATTTAGACAGAATTATTAAGAAATTATATTATGCATTTTAATGTTTAAAAAATAAATTATTTTTACTAAGTTATAATTGCAGAGTAGGGCCTAACACTATTTCTTCTCTCCTTTAATTTCCCTTGTAATGTGTTGTTAATGAGCTATAAACATGCTTGTTTTTAAAGGCAATTCAGAAGCGTCTAATGGAATCCTGTGGCAAAGTGAAGAATCCTTTTATATACACAGCACAGATGTGTCAAAGCCACTTATAGGTTTGTTTATGCATATGACACAGCTACCAGACCTGAGTGTGTCGTGTGAAAGTTAAAGTTTAAATCATTCTGTTAAGAGTTCTGCTACCACTTGGATATGTCAGTAATGAAAAATAATCAACACAAGCATCTTTGAAAAGCAATTTTGCATCATTAAAGATGCATGAATTTTGACAAAGCAAGAAGGTTTGAGGCTTATTAAGAATATATTAGGCCTCTACAGTGAGTGAAGAGAGAGGGGCATTTATGTCTGTCAAGGAGAAAGGTGTAGCCTAAATTGTAACCTCATGAAAGATAAATGGACAGGGGTAGGTACAGGTACAGCAACCACTCAGTCTTGAGTCCAACCTTTTGAGAGAAACAGCCTCTTTCAAGATGACAGAAAGGAAATAGGATCTTAGAACATTCCCTATTTCCTAATGGACTACATATGTGATACACTTGTCCATGTGGCTTGGAGCCAGAGCATTTTCTACAGAACTTACACATCCCTTTTTCAAATATACTATATTACAAATGTAATATACTGAACATACTGCATTTGCTTAAGAATTCTTAATTTTTGTCTTTTTTTTCTTTATTAAAAAAAGTTTGATATTATAGATCTCATAGTTGTAAATGTCCAAAATTCTTTACTAATAAAGATCTGATTCCACGTTTTTCTACTTAGCCATACATAATCTTAAAAAGAATGAGGGGGAGTGTATGCCAAGAATCCGTGGAGGGTAGTTTCAGTTTGTCTGCGTACCTTCCTTGAAAGTACTGAGTATTTCATGGAATCATGACTACTTTGGCTACAATGTGACCATATTGCATTTTTAAAAGATAAGAAGTGCATCTCTGTCGTGTGATGTGAGTCCTGTGTCAGCTACAGCTACTCTATTTGCATGTAAATTCTTAAAATTTCCTTGTCCCATGTGACACTTCCTGAAATGTCTGTCTGTTCTTTTTTCCTTTCTAATTTACCAAGCTCACTATTTGGATAAGATAGTTAAAGGTACTGTATACTTGCTCTTTGTTGCCATATCTGCATATCTATCTCTATATAACTGTGTATCAGATTGTACTAGGTATGACAATAGACTGTTTTTCATGCTTATTTTTGTAAATTATAAATCAGGCTTACATTATGTGAAGTGCCTCAGATTTAAAATAATAAGACTTAAATGTCTGTGTCTCGTTTTTATAATTTTGGGTTATCACAGATTTCATTCCTTTGTAAAAGCATTAGATTTCACTAGAACGAAAAACTGAAGATTACAGTAAATTTGCTGTTTTTTGTTTATTTTATTTTGCTTTAAGATCTTCACTGTTGGCAATTCAGTTAATGAGCTTTAAATTCTAAATTAAAGAATCATAACTACTTTTATCACAGAATAAGAAATTGTCAATCTAAAGAAGATTCTGGTTAACATGTTAAGAGAAATCCTATTTATCCTCTTATGGAAACAACTTTGGATTTTTCTAAATGTTTCAGAATATATGTGATATAGTAGTTTATGTTTCATTATTTTTTTTAAAAGCCTACAAGATATTGTGCATCCTACATCAGAACTGATGACATTGCTCAGCAGAAAACAGCAGATTCTCATGTCTTCAGTTATCGTAGACATAGGTGGAAATTTTTTTTCAGAAGAGAAAATTCCCTTTCCCTTTCTGCTCAGATTACCTATTTTCTCTCCCTTGTTTGTGCTTTTCATTGGAATATGAAAATATTCATGGCAATATCCAGGCTTTCATTTAATAACTTCTGTACCTGCAGTCAGCAGCTGCACCCCTCTTTGTCAGTGGGCAATTAAAAACAACAAAAAACATAGATAAGAAAAATTCACCTTTTAGGTATTGAGTAATCCATAGATACAGAAGGCAATCTTCTGAAAGAAAGGAAGCAGAAAAATAATCTTGTCCTGACCTGAGAGTATCCATAAGTATAATTTTGTGATGCTCTGCCACAAGAGACTGTCCAAATATTCTTCTTCCTCCCAACTCTAATCTTAAGAGACAGACGTCTCAAATATTTCCCTTTCAAGTTCCACAGTGAAGGAGGGGAAACCAATGCATGACTAATTCTTTTAATACAGACTTAAACTAAATATCTTTAAACAGTTTGTTCCCTAAAATTTTGTCACCAAAATAAAAGGAGTATTCTAATGATAAGAAGCTATATAACAAGCCCCAATTGCTATAGCAAGTATTTTTATTAATATATATTTGATATCAAATTATAAATACAGCTGTCCAAAGAAATCAGATTACTGGCCAGCTCTTCTTAGAAATTTAGAGCATTTATATCCTTGCTTCTTCTGTCAGTGCCATGTCACGATCATAAACAAGAATTCCAGACCTACCTAAGTGTCATCCTTCATAAACAGATCATGGTGGCTGCATGCCAGATATCATCAATAGGAAGTGGCAAAACTGTTTATTTTTTAATGTCATGTTAGACTGAAACAATTATAGATTTTGGATATATTAAATTATTTTAATTGTTTCCCAAATTTTCCCTCCTTGCCCATAAAAGCAGACAAGATAGGATATAAAGGTAACAGCATAAAAGCCTTAGGGAGATTGTCACAAAATATCACTCTTCGCTATCTGTCTTGAAGCACGTCACTACCGTGTTTTTGTTCAGTCTATCAATGTTTTATTGTGGTCCTTATGGTATTTCATTTTGTCCGTCCTAAGTAATCAGATATGCACAGCTATTACATTTAGTTGGAAATCCTGTTGGTCCTGTCCCATCCGTATGCAGCCTGAATCCTAATGTTTGTTAGAATAGATGCTAAGCTGCTTCACTATTTCCTGGGCTTTGCTTATTCTGTGGAAAGGAATGTACTCTTGGCATAAAGTATAGTCATTAATATTGGCCTATACTTTGTGCAATTATTTAATGCGCTGTAATTTCACATGAATATTCGGCAACTCTAAGGCCAGATAAAATTAATGTTCTCTTTTTAGCATCATTCATAAACTCATACCCACTTTCATGCTCTTGAATTGAGAGGGAATTTTTTAAAGCAACAAGGTGCTTCAAGGAGCGTGTCCTAAGTGACTAGTAATGTTGGCAACAGATTAAAAATCTGGAGGAGGGATTATGAAATTATTTTCTCGATAGGCTTTTTCACAATATACCTTGTTGCTTTGCGAAATAAAAAAAAAAATTAAGTTAATTTTGTCTGGCCTGCAGCTATTTAGTGGATCATTGTCTATATTTCTGTCCTGCACAGGTAAGTGGTGTCTCATAAGGGTCAGGCCAATCAAAGATGCCACTTGGATAAGAATTAGATTTCTTAGATAATGTTGCTGTTTCTATCCATGTGCAATTACAGTATTTGTGCTGTTTATAAAGGCCTGTGCCCACTAAGTGTCCCTTATCTGTTTATTTTAGGTGCAAAATCTCTTAGTACTCAAATCACTGGTGTTTTTCTTCTTTGTCTTGACAGAGGGTTGTCCTGGTCTGTGCAACAGCAATGGGAGATGTACACTGGACCAAAACGGCTGGCATTGTGTTTGCCAGCCAGGGTGGAGAGGAGCCGGCTGTGATGTAGCCATGGAGACTCTCTGCACAGATAGCAAGGACAATGAAGGAGGTAAGAAATCCTGAGCATGAAAACAAGTGTGTGCCAGAGCATGGGTTCAAAAGTTACCGTGAGTACTTGGTTATCTGTTGCCAAAAAAAATCTGATCCCTGTAGATTAGACTGATTGAAAAATGTATGAGTGCTGATGGGATGATTTTGCTTCCTATTTTTCATGAAACAAATTATCATTCAGGGAAAAGGCAAGGTAACCAAGGTACCGTATAATGTCCATTGTTCTCCATTCCCTTTTCTAATCCCCAGGTGACTGTCCTCCTCAAATATGATTATTTAGGGCTCAGTGAATTGGCAGCTCTACCAGCAGTATTTTAATAACTAAACATTCCAGAAGATGTGAGCCTTTTTTCAAGCTCTTCTGTTGAAAGTCATGATGGAAAAAATAAAACAGTAACAGAGGACAATCCTCTTGAAACTGTACTCCACCATCTTTCTATCATAACTTTACATCCTGTTAAAAAGATTGTGATACTCCACCCAATTTAAGCCCTCAGCTAGGAATAATTATTTTCCCCTTTGAGCACTTCGCCTACGCTATTGTATGTTAATATCAGACTAGAGAGTGGGAGATGGTGATGGACTACTTGCCCCTGACAGCTGTTTAATTTTGACAAGCCCTTAGGAGTGAGTTTTTAGGAATAATTTAGTTGCTCTCTGGGTCTGTGTTTACCTACTCCAGTGCTTAGGGTGTGATTCCCTCCCCACACACCTCACCCCCCACTCCCCTCGCAAGCCACCTGCTCTTCTGAAAGGCCACAAGACAATAGTGTTGGCTAGAGAGTGCAACTTTGGAAGCAGACAGGTCTTCACTCTTCCATGTAGCAATCATGTGACCTTATAAAATAGGAATAAAAGTTTTTGAAAGGATGAGACAGTGGATACCAAGTACTCAGCATGATACTGGGCACAGATAGTATACTGTGTCTGCCATTGTTGTTTATTTTCCCTTCCTCAGCTGTCAAAGTGCTCATCTTGACTAATTGACAGCCTAGAAGGTTGTCAGAAGACTGAATAGCCTTTTCCCATGTGCATCTATGGTGGATCTAAACCCTGATCTCTATGAAACACGGTGACTAGATCTGACCCCTTGCCTGCTCCAACCCCAACTTACACAGCACACCCTAGCTGGGCCTCATGCTCTTCAACCAAATGCTGTTTGTGTCTTATCTTCCTTACAAAGAAGCTAAAGTTTTCCTCCTTTTTTTTCTAGCATACTATTCACCATCTTCCCTATTGTCTTCTACTTGGATTGTCAATAAACTTAAGCCATTAATTCTGCTCTCAGGCCTCCTTTCTTTTCTGCACCTGATGGATTTAGACTGTCTCTCTAACCCTCACGGCTCCCCTCCCATAACACCTTGTTGCCCCAACTCCTCTTAACCCCACATGCTTACAGAAATGGCAACATTAATCCTCTCTCAACCACAGTCCAGATGGCAACCTAACTCATTACTGTCCCCTAAAGAGTCCCTACCCCATTGTTTCTGTTACCTAGGGAGGAGAAAAGCAACTCTTTCTCCTTGCTTGTGCATTTCAGATTTTGTCTTCTAAAAGGAGATTACACTGAGGAGGTTCCACATGCTCTCATAGGGAAGCAAACTACAGGGCCAAGTCTGCAGAGACACAGCAGAGTAATTTAGGGCCTAATCAACTCTTTAGTATTGTTATCAAGAAGTAGATTTTTCTTTTTCCTCAAAATTTATCAACTGTGAATTGGCCTCATTCCCCTTTGTTTATTCTTATTAGCATGAAACTATCCTATCTCTAGGCTTCCCTGTCTAAGGGGAAATCTGAGCTGATAGAAGACCTCCTGTGGATTCTCTACTTATCTCACATAATTTGCATGCCTGTTCATAACCTAATTTTGTTGATCTTCTAAGAAGGAATCTCAGTACCAGCCTCATTATATTCTGAGATTGTAACCTGGGTGCCCTATAATCCACATTAGAAAGTTCTTTAAACTTATGCATGGACAGTGTACATAGAGACAGTATTTTCCACACCAAACCCCAAATCAAGACACATTAACTGGCAATTAATGATAGTATGATATAAGGACAATAAAACAGAAGGTTTAAAATTAGGACTACACCCGAAATTGTAGGTCATGTGGTGACTACAAGTGATATAGAGCCATTTTGTGAACTAAATTTGATGTCAGAATGCTGAATTAGCCAGGAAGTAGCCAAGTTATTTGATTTAGCATATTAAACAACTAAGGAAGAGGAGAAGGTGAAGAGGTGATCTGGCCCTAGTCAGAAATTAAACATTTTATGTAAACAGCTGCTGCAGTCTAGTTTGAGCAACTTCGTAGAACACAGTCTTTATAAAAGAAAGAGAAAGTAGCTTACCATTCCCAGAAAAGGCAGCTACAAAAGGGAAATAATTAAATGTCTTCTTAGACCAGGTCTTTTCCTTCTATTCTAAACTATACTTTCCAATTAATTTTGCCCCATCACCTCTCTCAAGTTATAAAGGTCCTCAAAATCTGGATCTCACTAAATAAGTATCTCTCTTTGCCTTTATGAGACTACCCTGCCCATATGTTTCTCTGCAATGCTTAAGGAAAAGCAGCTGCAGAAGGGAATTCTTCATGAGCAATAGGAGGAATGGACTACTAATAAAATAGGTTGGAGCAATCTGTCTTTAGCCACTCTTTTAACACCTTTGCATTCGTAAGAAGTAAACCTGCTGTCCTACTTTTAAAGGTTCAAACAAACAGCTGTCATGTACAATGAGTAACTAGCTTTTCAGAACTAAGGGCAGTCTTTTACCTGTAATAAGTTCTGTGACAAAGATTTCTACTCCAAGAAATTAACAAAGTCCATCTGCTCCTCAAATACTTCTCAAAAGCTTTATGTATCAAACAGAGGCCATTGAAGCAGATCTTTTTTTTTTTTTTCTGGTGGGACTGGGGTTTGAAGTCAGGGCTTCACAATTGCATAGCAGGAACTCTACTTCTTGAGACACACCTCTAGTCCATTTTTGCTCTGGCTATTTTTTGAAGATGGGGTCTTACAAACTGTTTGCCCTGGTCTGACCTAAAGCTTCCATCCTTCTGATCTCAGCCTCCCAAGTAGCTGATAACAGGTTGAGCTGCCAGTGCCCAGCTGAAATAGATTTTAAATCACATAGTGGAATTCATAACAAATGGTCACTGGAGCAGAGAATTGTGGGGAACGTCTCCATATGGGGCATGTAGATACTTTGGGATCAACTAGTTGCTGTCCTGTCTTTGTTGAGAAAGTTTTCAGCGCAAGTAAGTGATCAACAAACACATGCCTACACTTTTCTAAGCATTGCTTTCTCAATTCCATTTAAACCTGTAAAGTCAGTGCCCCTCTAAGTTGAGCCCTTGCTTTTTCCTATCCCCAAATCCTGATCATGATGTCACTCAGGTTAGAGCAAAGAAACACGGAGTGAGGAGGGCTGACCACTGCTAAGTGATGTGAGCTCTGGAGTGGTGTATAAGACAGTGACTCCATACTGCCACCTTCTTTAGTTCCATGAATGCCCCTTTCAGTCAGCTATCTGCATTAAGATCTAGTCTGCCTCACAGTGTCCCCTACCTCAGCCTTTCACTTGCCCTCAACAAGAAAATCCATTCTGGAGGTTCTCTGCAGTCATTCTGACCAGGAAATACTGGTTGCATATGAGAGAAAGTAAGTCAAATGATCCTACACCTACAAAAAGTTGTTAGCTTATGTAACTGAAAACTTCAGGCATAGTTGCACCCAAGTGTTCAATGTTACCACAAATCTGGGTTTATTCATCTGTTGTTGGAACCATTCTCAAGCCATTTCTTCTCCCAAATGGCTACCAGCAGCTCAGGGTTTACATCCTACTCCCTATTTACATAGCAACCCCAGCACAAGAAGGACACTTTTGTTTTCTACAGATCTATGAGAGCTTGGCCTGGGACTAAACTTCACTCTGACTGGTCTAAATTAGATCACCTGATCAAAGGAAAATTAAAGTGTGGTCACCAGGAGAAAGGGGTTACCAATGCTGAGCAGGAAGAAAAACAGATTCTACTATAGGAATATTATTAGCTCTTCCTAACATTTAGTTTTAGTGTAGCCAGAGAATATATTCTAATAACTGTTTCATGTAATTCAGAAACTGTTACTTTCAGAAGAAATTTTCTATTCTCTCTCCCTCCCTCCAAATTAGTCTTTTCACTTGACAAAAAGAAAACCAGTGCTAAACCTCAACCATGCATTCCTTGCCCAGGAATGGTAGGACACCTCTCTAGTTCTCTCCGAATGCTTTTCTAAGCATCATTGGTTTTACAAAGCCTACTTACCATGGATCTCATTCAACAAGGGAGATTTTTTACTTTTTATACCTGGTGGTCCCACTACAAGCACCAAAATGCAACGACTTGCCAAAGATAATTTTAGCTTAACAAACATTGGGCTACTTACTAACAAGGTGATTTTTCCCAAATATATTATCTCTATGTTCCCATCTTCTCTTGAGGAGGAGCTAGTCAAAGTTCTTTTTGACATCTTGCTTCCCTTTCTGGTCCTCTAGTAGGGTAGATTTCCTACAGGACCTGAGGCATGGATTCAGGCCCTGTCCTGGAGATTTGATGGTTGGAACACAAGAATGTCTTTAAATGACTCATTCTAGACTTTGTTAAAGAATGCTGGAATGCCAAAACGTAACTCCTGCCAGGAATAATACATCTATCTTTTAAGTAAATGGAGTTATTTCTTGTCCTTCAGAATTGTTACTTTATGGGAATATATCAGGAAGATGCATCCAAAACAGGTACCTTTTGTTTGGAGGCTGATTACTGTAGAGAAGAAATTGCAAATCAACTGAAGTTATTCAGAAATTAGGAAGATAAAAATGATAAATAAATTTTAAATAAATAGAAGTAAAAGTACTAATGAGAGATTCAAACTATAAGAAAAGTAGGATTGTGCTATAGGTAAAACATACTCCAAAAGAGAAAAAAAAGTGGGTGAAATTTTCATACGTGCATCA